CGGAATCCCAAACAAAAGCGGCGCGCGAGCGCGGAACGGTCACTGCTGGCCTTGGCCGGCTGCCCACCGCTGCCGGATTTCTGGAGACAGGCAGGATCTCAGCGCCCGCCTGTCCCGTAGGCAGGAAGATGGAAAGAGGCAACTCCTTAGGAAGCTGTTTGGAGACGGCGGCCGCGATGCTGCGACAATCAGGCAGGGGGTGAAGGTGGGGAGGGCGTCCTGCGGGTCCAGACCCAGGAGCTTGGGAGCAAGGCTGCTTCAGGAAAGGGGTTTCTGGGGGCCAGCCGTGAGATTTTGCGTGTGGTTCAGAGCTGGCCTGGCAACGAGAAAACCCCAGGAGGGAGAAATCGCTCCGAGCACTCATCCTTGGGCCGGGTTTTTCCTCCGTTTCCTTTGGCGTCCTTGTGAGCGCAGCTTGGAGCGGGACCGTGGCGCGTCCCGGCTCCCTGCCTCAAGGACAGACCTTGCTGACGGGGTGACAGCAAAGGCTGTTTGGGGAGCGGAGCAGCTTTCGCTTGCACCCGAGGGGGTGACATCGACCTCCGGGTCCCGCGGGAGGTAGCTCCACGCTCCGGCTGCAGCCCGGCTCCTATTTGCAAACATTTGCTCTGCAGTTGCCGGCGCGTTTCCTGTTCCACGGGGCGGTCACGAGGCTCAGGAAAGTTTGCAGAGTGAGTAAGTCACCATGTCCCAGCCTCAGCGGCAGCGTGGCCAGGTCGGCAGCGTCCCCAGGGATCTGCTGTGTTCATGGAGCCGCTTGTTTTCCGTCCGCTCCCCAAATCTCTCCTTAAGCCAGTTGCAAACTGCTGGGGACTTGAGTTGTCCAGGCTGTCCGGAGGAGGATGGGGAAGCCCTGGGGGTATGGAAAGGGCTGGAGGAAATGCAGGAGCAGCCGGAGCCAGGCAGGGTGTGAGCAGGCAGGGTTTGGGACGGGCAAGCAGGCAGCACAGGGCAGAGCACCCATCCCAGCACCCATCAGTGGGTGTCCCCCCCCATCACCCTGGGCCAGGAGGTGCCAGGGCTCTTTGGCTTCCCCTCAGTTCCTGGTAGGTGGTTTTGTCCTTGAACTCATTTGCAAAGAGGGCTTCTTGCAACTAATTACTCCTGCCCTTGGCTTCCTTAATTGAGCCTCTCATCCGGCCGTCTCTCTTGCTGGGCTTGCTCAGACCTTCCCACCCAGCCGCAAGCCAGCAGATCCCAGGAGGATCTGGCCCAGGTGACACCGTGTTTCCAGAGCCCACCACCTCCACCACCAGCCCGGAGTGCTGCAAACCCCTTACCAGCCAGAAATAAAGGTGGGGAGGGACCACAAAACCTTCCCCTGGAGGTGAAGATGCCCCGAGGAAGGCTGACCCTCACCCTGTGAGTGCATTAACCACATCGGCCAGGACAGCCTGTGGAGAACAGGTCTGACGGGTGCTCTTGGCTTCCCCCAGCCCGTGGCTTTGCAGCACACGCAGCCGGGATGAAAAGTTGTTTATTCAGGGCCGTGGCCATGTGGGGAGCTCTCATCCCTCTGGGAAGCGCCTGGATGGGAGCGTGGCTGCCTTTGCACCGGGATGAGGGCTGCAGCTGGGGTCGGCAATGGCTCATCCCTTCCTTGCGCTGCTTTTACCTGAAGCATCCCCTCTCCGAGGGGGAAAAAAATGGGAGAAGAATAAATGCAAGGAATAAAAAAAGCTCTGGCTGATGGGGGATACCCAGGGGGATGAGTGGTCGCGGAGAAGCTGAGGACTCAAGTGGGGATTGGCATCGCTCCTGGCAGAGCGGGACTTGACCCCGGGTTTTACCGTGGCCGTCGGCAGCCGGTCCCTCCCAGGCAGCAGGGACCCACCATGGGGCCACAACTCGGAGCAGAGATGGTCCCCAGCTGTTTCCGATGGAGCGATGACAGATGACTCCAGGAGGGACTCCCCAAGTCATTTTAGGATCCCCGGGCTATTTTAGGATCAGTAAATGACATAGACATTAAAGAGGAACTGGTTTAGGAAACAGCATTGGATTAACTCACAGAATCCCAGCATGGCTGGGTTGGAAGGGACCTCGGGAGCTCACCCAGTGCCACCCCCCCTGCTCAAGCAGGCTCACCCAGAGCAGGGGGCACAGGACAGCGTCCAGGTGGGGGTTGAATATCTCCAGAGAAGGAGACTCCACAGCCCCCATGGGCAGCCTGGGCCAGGGCTCGGGCACCCTCCAAGTCAAGAAGTTCTT